CCCTCGTATTGCAGGTGAAGTGTTCATCTCCTGCCTGGCATGCAGAATTGCATAAATGCTGATTATCGGGCCATCAACCGCCTCCACAGTTACCTAGGCTGGTGACCGGTTTGGGTGTGTGTCACTTCTCACCTCATTCTCAGTCTTGCCCACCTGACTGGAACCTAGTGCTTTCCTCACAATGCCTCCAGGGCATCTGAGCTGGGGCCCTCACCCCTTCCCCACCATGGAGGGGCACTGGGCTCCTCGGGCTGGGCTTCCCTCTCTATATACGGAAGGGGCCCCCCCTTTTTTTTTTAAGTTTACATCTTCCATGAATAGAAAGCGAGGAAGGGCAGTACCCCAACACCACCTTAACAGTGCAAACCCCCACCCCTCAGCCCTCAGCCAACCTCAGGTCAAGGGAATGTTCAGGCCCTAGTACTCAAGGTTTCCAGACCCGAACCCAGAACCTTCCCATGTAAGATTGCCTCACAGAACATTGCATTTCACTGGGTGCCACTGTCTTGTCCCCAGGGCATCCTCTTCTGAGCAAAGCTGGAGTGGAGTGATATTTGGTGACACTGCCTGTGTGACATCAGGCTGCCCAGAAATGCCTTTCGGTCTCCAGGGATGAGTGCGGGCTGTGTGGTGTTAGTTCTGAACTCCAGGAGCCGGATGACAGGTATTTTCGAGTAGGCTTACACCGGATATGATCCGACAGTGGGTGTACACACCACGCCAGAGTTAACCTCTGCCACCTATTTCCAGCACCATGGGGACACACCCTGAGACACACATCTCACAACCAGTTGGCCTCCTGCTGCCCCGGGTGGCTTCAGACTCGTGGGAGGGGTGCTGCCAGAAAGAACCTGCTTTTCTATATAGGGTGTGCAGAAGATGTAGCCTGCACCCAGGGGCCTGGCAGGTGGGGACTTTCCTAACTGGACGCCTGGCGGTTGCTTCCCAGGGCGCCAAGCACATCTGTGAGCGGACACTGCCCCCTTGAGGCCGGTGCCGCATCACACCTCAGTCCACAGGGCTTGAGAAAGACTATGGTTTCCTTCCAAGTGTCCTCTCTGCGTGCTTAAGATTGGCCCGAAATACAGCACTGGGTTGTGATTGTGCTTGGGTGAGGTTCATCTCACACCCAAACCCAAGTGCCCCTGGACCTCTGCAAACATCTCCCCACCTGGAATGCTCTCCCACGATCTGGCCGGGCCGACTCCTGCACAGGCAGTGATGTCTCTTCCCCGAGGCAGTTCCCCTGGTATCGGAGTTGGCTGGATGCTACTCCGACGTGTTGTAGGCTGGCACCATGGCGTGGTGGAGAAGCCAGCTGCCATAAGGCAACCATCTTTGGAATCCCTGGCACACTCTTGAGGCCGGTGCCGCATCACACCTCAGTCCACAGGGCTTGAGAAAGACTATGGTTTCCTTCCAAGTGTCCTCTCTGCGTGCTTAAGATTGGCCCGAAATACAGCACTGGGTTGTGATTGTGCTTGGGTGAGGTTCATCTCACACCCAAACCCAAGTGCCCCTGGACCTCTGCAAACATCTCCCCACCTGGAATGCTCTCCCACGATCTGGCCGGGCCGACTCCTGCACAGGCAGTGATGTCTCTTCCCCGAGGCAGTTCCCCTGGTATCGGAGTTGGCTGGATGCTACTCCGACGTGTTGTAAGCTGGCACCATGGCGTGGTGGAGAAGCCAGCTGCCATAAGGCAACCATCTTTGGAATCCCTGGCCCAGTCAGCCCAACAAACGTGCCGAGAGCTGACAGGCTGGAGCCATGGAGAAAGGAACTGCAGCATGACCAGTCCTGTGGGTGCTCCCATCTCCCTTACTCGCGTGTGTGCATGCACATGTTCTATCATGAATAGATAAAAAATGTGCTCCTGTAAACCCTGGCAAACTTTTAATTAATTAATTAATTTTAGATTTTTGCCATAGGGTGTGTACGCTTGCCAGAGAGAGAGGGAAAATAAGAAGTCACCCCCAAACAGAATGGCCACACGACAATCCCTTCTCCTCCATTGTCCTTTCAGATCTGTAGCATGCACTCACGTGCACCTGGCATGGTTTTCAAGCCACTGGGTCTGAGACTTGAACCACAGAATTGGCCATGTGGGATCCAGTGCCGTGACCACCATACCATCTGCTGGCCCTCCCTTGACAACATTTATTGAACTGCATTGACCTCACTTCTGAGGTCCCTGACTGCCTGCTGGCAGCAAGGTGGCAGAGACCCAGAGACTGTCTCCTTGCACCCAGCCCTGAGAAACTCGTGGGCAGAGCCAAGATAAGTCAGCTCTCCTTGTGGAGAAAAACGGGGCAGGACAGAGGAAACCTCAAGGAAGGGGTCACTTGTCTTGTGGTTCCCCCCACTCCATGCCTGGTAGATTACCTGTCCTCCTCTTCTACCTTAAACCAATGTAGCCTAGGAGGTTGATGGGGAGTGGTCAGGGCACTCTCTGGCTCAGGCGAGGTGACAGCTGGGTGAGTTTCAGAAGCCATCCCAGTCCTGGTTCCCCATGCACCCAAGACCTAAGAGAACTGGACCAGGGCCACATTCAATTAGGCAAATTCTAGGGTCCTTCAAAAAGTTCATGGAAGCAGGAACCAGCAGTTAGCGTAATGGCTGTGTCGCTGGACTCCCACGTAGTCGACCACGGTTCATGTCCCAGACCTGGTGGCTTAAAACTCACGCCGGGCGCGTGTGCGTGCGTGCCCAAGATCCCAGGAGGAGAATGGAGGAGAAGGGATTGCGGCGTGACCATCCCCCCGGGGGGTGATTTCTCGCTTTCTGTCTCTATGTCTCTCTCTGTCTGGCGAGCGCACGTGCCCTATAGCGAAAAACATCTCCAAAAATAAAAATAAATAAATAAAGTGAAGTGGCCAGTAGGTGGTATGGTGGTTAAGGACACTGGACTCCTACATGGCCAACTGTGGTTCAAGTCCCAGACCTGGCAGCTTGCTTTCTCACTCACTCTCTCCCTCTCTCTCTCTCTCACTCTAGTCAAATTAAAATAAATAAATAAGTAAAACATAAAGTTAAATAAGATAAATCTTGAAAGAAAAGAAAACATAAAGTGAAGGAATGGCAAGGAAAGATCAGAAATGAGAATGCCTACTGCCTGGGAACAGGGTGACAGGGGCATTTGTAGTGAGTCCAAAAGGGTGGAGAGATGCAGACAGGTGTCTGATGTCTGGAACAGGACCAGAGCATGGGCTTGGGTCACTGGGGCAGGGTGGGTTCCTGATTAGTGCAACCCTGAGTGCTGGGTCCTGGGCAGAAGCTCACCAAACACTCAGAGCCCCCTTGGAGGTGGGTCTTGTGCTGAGAAGGCCAGCCCCTATCCAACAGCAGTGTGCTCACCCTCCTCTCCCAGCCTGCCTCATGTCAGGGTGGGCCATGTGACTAGTTCTGGATGGGGCTGTGAGCGGAAGTGCTTTCTACAGCGCGTCAGCAGGAGCTGACGTGAGTGCTCCACCTCTCTCTTCCCATGCTGTGATGACTCTAGTGGCCGCATGTACAAGATCTGGGTAGCTCAGCCCCCAGATCTTGTAGGAGAAGTAGACAGACAGGGCCAGCTGGCGCACTGGTGGTTGAAGTGGCTGGGTCCCACACTGCCGACTGTGCAGTTCGAGTCCCGGACCCAGCAGCCTAAGAAACACTCCTGGAGTGTGTGTGTACCCAAAATCCTGAGAGGAGAATAGAGAAAGGATTATGGTGTGGCCATTCTCCTGGGCAGGGGTGTGTGTGTGATTTCTCAGCCCCTTTCAGTCCCGCTTCTTTCTGGCCAGCACACATGCCCCGAAGCAAATTTTAAAAAAGAAAATTAGGCAGACTTGTATTGTGTTCAGCCGGGGAGATTTGGGGGTTGCTATGCAGAACACAGAACTACTTCCACTTTACGGAGGCCAAGTTGTTATTTGCAGCCACGCAGTTCACAATGGCAGAGCTGGGACTCGAACCCAGGCCTGGGTTTTAGACACTGGACTTCACCTCACGACAGCCAGTCCCCAAGCATGGCTATCACATCTGAAATCTTTTTTTTAAAAGAATTATTCATTTTATTTATTTATTTATTTTTTTTTTTTTTACATGAATTTTGCCAGAGAAAGACAGAGAGAGTGAGAAAGCAAGCTGCCAGGTCTGGGACTTGAACCACGGTTGGCCATGTGGGAATTCCAGCATCTTAACCACCATGCCACCTGCTGGCCTCCCACATTTGAAATCATGAGAGAACATCAGCAGGGACGGACCTAAGGGACAGCCAGGTGGCTGGAACCTTGAGCACATCCCGCCATTCTGCAGCATGCAGCGCTGCCTGGTTCTTCTTTGCCAGTGGTGACTCTGCTTAAGTGACACAACAAGGAAATGAGAGTGGGACTGGCAGATGGCATAATGGTTGACCACGTTCAAGTCCTGGACCTGGAGGCTTAAAACTCATGCCAGGTTTGGGTGCGTGCGTGCCCAAAATCCCAAGAGGAGAATGGAGAAGGGACCTCAGTGTGGCCATCCTCTCCGGGGGGGTTTCTCACTTTCTGCCTGTCTCTCTGTTGAGCGCACATGCCCTATATAAAGAAATCTCTCTTAAGAAAAAAAAAAAAAGACAACAGCAGCTGGCCCTCAAGGGTGGCAGAGAATTACAACTGGGAGATTTATGACCCAGAGCCCACCATCTTCCACTGTCTGACAAGGGAGGGACCTTTCCCAGTGTCTCTCCCCGCTCTTACCCACTTGTCCCCAGCCCAGACGGGCAGTACTGCAGGGCATGTGCTGCAGTCAGACTGAGCTCCAGCCCCTTCCCTGCTGTCTACTGGCTGCGTGACCCTGCCCTCTGAGTCTCCATTCCTTCCTGTGGAGGCTGGGGACGTAGCCCCAGCTCCTCACAGACGCCATGAGCAGATGTGATACCCCAGCACCTGGCGCTAAGCCTGTCAGATGCCATGGCAGGCTCTCTTCCTCCAGGTGTGACCAGGCGGCTATCAGAGGAAAGAGAAGCAGCGTGCAGATTTACCCTGAAGTTGTCACCTGTTTATTAACAAAGAGCACACAGGGATCCCTGGGACAGTGCTGGGAGCACCCCTTCCACCCTTCCCGCCTCTTCTCTCGGTTCCCTCTGGACTCAGTGTGAGTTCTTCATAAGTCTTTCTGGCATTTTCTTTCAGGAAACCCTGTAGGTGTGCTGGCTGGGCTGTCTCTGCTTCCCCTATCCACATGTGCCTGTCCCTGTGGGGCCGTGGACAGGGCTGTGAACCTCTGCTCAGTCATTCATGTCCAAACCAAATTCTGGATACAGCTCTTTGGTGGTGACACCTCGGATCACGGCTGGAAGGAAAGAGGGAAGGATGCGTGTCCACTGAGGAGGAGGGGGAGGGCGCATAGCCACACCTGGGCCAGTGTCACTGCCTTGACTGGCCCTGGAGCCACACCTTCCCTCATTAGCTCAGATGACCTCCCTGCTGGCCCTCCTAGGCCTCACTCCAGGTGCCCTGCCCACCACCCCACACCACAGCTCATGCCTGAACACCCTCCATATGCCTGACACTGTATTCAACACCTGACCTCCGAGGACCTAAACCCTCACCCCATTTTACAGAGCAGTGGAACAAAGCTCCTCTCAGACCCATTTCCACAGCAAGCAGCCAGCCACCTGCTGCATATGTAAACTGTCGAGCTCCCATGCCTGCTGAAACCCGGAGTCCTTGACGTGGCCTGGGTGCAGGCCCCTACCCGTATGCAGCCGCCACTGAAGCCTGATTTCTGCCAGCGCCGCCCCCCCCCCTGTCTCCGCCCGCCACTGAGGCTGGTCCTCGGCTGTCCTCCCTCAAGACTTTCCTTTCCACCCCAGGAGAGGGCCTCCTCTGACCACCTTATCTCATCCCCTCCCACCACCCTGGGTTTGTTCCTTAAATCCTGCTCTTTCTTCCCCTCATAGCACTTACGTTTAATGCTTAGTTTGCCATGTTCGCATACCAGCTGGCCCCTCCCATCCCCCACAGCAGAGCATAAGCCACAGGAAATAGACCTTCAAGTGTCTAGTTCACAGGGTCCCCAGTACAGTGCCTGGCACAGAGCACCTGTCCAGTAAATATTCCACGAATAAACAAGAAAGGGATAGGCCACCCACTGCAAGTCATGTGATCTAGAAGGGACAGGTCTCACCCTGCGTTCTAACAAGAGCGTCTGCTCTTGGCCATGAGGCCTCACTCCCCACACAGGCCTTCCTTCTCGGCCCTCTCCTCATCCATCTGTGTTTCTCTTCCATTTTCTTCCTCTCCTCCTCTGGGACCAATTCTCCAGTGAAACATAGAAGCCCTCCTGGCTACAGACTCCCGGGTGCTGCTGGGCATTTCTGCAATGGCTGCTAAAACTCACGCCATGTGTGGGGGACGCTACTGGTGGCTGGGCACCAGAGGGCCACCCGCAAGTCAGGTGATGGAGCTGAAGGCTGGTCTGAAGCCACCTACACATTTCTGTGCCCCGTGCCAGCTGACCACAGGTGCCTGTCCTGGTTGAGCCCTTTGAGTAGCGAGAGTTTGTTCAAGGAGGGACACACTAGCCCTTCGAACCACCAAGAGTCACCCCTGCACTTTTTGCTTCCTTAGCAAGTCAGCCACTGGAGGCCAGGAGGATGTATCTGTCACTCTGAGTAGGCGCCAGAAGACTGAGGAATTGGGGCCAGCACTGGTGTGGAGGTTAAGGCAGCTGGATCCCACACAACCAACTGCTCAGTTAGGAGTCTCAGGAGGCTTTAAAAACACATCAGGTGATCTGGCAGGTGGTGTAATAGTTATGTTGTTGGACTCCCACATAGTTGACCATGGTTTGCGTTCCAGAACCAGTGGCTTAAAACACGCCAGGTGCGTGTGCGTGCATGCCCAAGATCCCAAGAGGAGAATGGAAGAGAAGAGACTGCAGCATGGCTATCGCCCCAGGGTGATTTCTCACTTTCTATCTCTGTCTCTACAGTGAGCGCATGTGCCCTATAGCAAAATAAATAAATAGATGCAAATACAAACAAAACCCAAAAACGCATTAGGTATGTGTGCATATGTGACCAAAACTCTAAGAGGATAATGGAGAAGGGATTATGACATGGCCATCACTCCTTGGTGGTGCTCTCCCCACCCCCATCTCTGTCTGTCTCTGGCGAATGCACATGTCCTATAGCAAAAAATAAAATAAAAGGCTGGGGACCCTGAGCGCTCAGTCTAGCAGGTGGCCGAGCCCTGCTCCAGCCTGTCTACAGCTCCGAAGCTGGCTCTGGGCCGAGCAGAGAACCTGGCACTCAGGTAAGAGCTGTCCAGCTGCTTTGCTGATGCTCAGAGAGAGCAGAGGCAGCAGAGACGGGGGAGGCCCAGGATCCAACCCCAACACTCCTAAAGGAGGGGCAGCCCCCTGGGAGCCTGCTGCTCACCCAGTCTGCCCAGCAGCAGCTGGCCTGCATCCTTGATGTCGTTGTACTCGTGCAGCTGGGAGATGTGGTCGTCCAGTTCATCCACACTGTAGCCTCTGGGGTGAGCGATGGAGAGAGCGAGACATGGCACTGGTAAGAAGCTAAAGAGGAGCCCAGGCTCGGACAGTCATGAAACAGCTGTAAAATGTTCACTGGCAGCCTGTCTGCTGCTAGGCATCTGAGACATGGCAAGAGCAGCAGACCCTGCCCTCCTGGAGCTGACAGCAGGGCAGGGCATCTCCCAGCTCTACTCCTGGCCAATGTACACTGCCCAGACCCAAACAGCCAGGCAGCTTCCCTCAAGTGTGAAATGCACCTTCCAAGGCTGCTAGGTCTCTGCTATGTGGCAGGGGCATGGGGAACTCCGAGTCCTGGCAGAGCAGCCTCCCCTGCACTGAAAAGCTCCCCCATGGAGCAAGAATGGGCCTATGACAGAGAGTTTGAGTGCCAACACTCCCAGCTAAGGAATATCTAGAAATCTGAAAAAGCATGGCGTGGGAGGTCCACAGAGGTGTTTCCAGAAAAGATTAACATGGGAATCTGAGATTAGGTGGGAAAGAACTGACAGCTCTATTCAATGAGGGGCTGGAGAGAACAAATACAGAAGGCAATGGGTCTCTTGAGAGAGATTAGACTTCTGTCACCTCCGAAGTCAAGGCTCGCCTGCCTTCAGACCCCAGGATTTACAGCAGGGCCACCGCCCCTGCTCCCCCAGGATCTCAGGCTTTCAGTACAAGTCCCTGAGTTACACCACCAACTTCCCTGCCTCTGAGGCCTTTGGACTTGGACTGAGCCACGCTGCCAGCGTCCCAGGGTCTCTAGCTGGCAGGTGGCCTGTTGTGGACTTGGCTCCCCCAACAAATCCCCATGCAGGAGTGTGAGTGAGCATGCACACACACACACTATTGGTTCTGTCTCCCTAAAGAACCCTGGCTAATAGAGGCTCCATGTGAAGATGGAAGTGGAGGCAGAAAATGCGGTCCCAGAGAGTTCGGGGGAGCAACGGCCTCCATCTGGCAGCTTTGCAGTTCTCAGCTCCAGCCCTCTCCAGTCTGACCTCCTCCCTACCTCAGAGGATGCTGAGACACGCTGCATCCAAAGGCCAGGCCTGTTTCTACGCTAAGCTGATGTGACTGGGTTTTAGTTACTGGACACTAGTCAAAAGGGATCTTAAACCTGACTGATGGGTTCAACAAGACTTACTCAGAAACCAGCTGGGAGATCTCCTTATCCAGCATGTCGCTCTTCTCCTTCAGTTTCTGAATGTCAAGGTGCAGAGACTCCTCGCTGATCCCACCAGTCTGGCCAGACTTGAGAGATGGCCGCTAAGTGGCAGAAAAGTCATCAGTTGGACTGACCGGTTATCCACAGGTCAGAGCCCGAGGGACATCCTCCAAGAGTCAGTTCCCACTTCTGCTTGGTAAAAGATCCCCAGACCCCAAATAAGACTCCATTTCCCAGTTTCCCTTGGAATTAGGCATGACCTGTGACTCAGTTCTAATAGGCACAGCTTCATCAGAAAAGGTATCTGTAGAACCAGCAGGTGGCGCAGGGGTTAAGGCGCTGGTATCCTACATGGCCAACTGTGGTTTGCGTCCCAGACCTGGTGGCTTGCTTTCTCTCTCTCTCTCTCTCTCTCTCTCTCTCTCTCTGGTGAGTATACATGCCCTATAGCAAATTAAAAAACAATAATAATGGGGACTAGCAGTTGGCGTAATTGCTTTGTTGCTGGGCTCCCATGTAGTCGACCACAGTTCCAGACCCAGACCTGGTGGCTTAAACACACCAGGTGCGTGTGTGTGCATGCCCAAAATCCTGAGAGGAGAACAGAGGAGAAGGGATTGAGGTGTGGCCATCACCCCTACGGGGTGATTTCTTGCTTTCTGTCTCTCTGTCTCTCTCTGTCTTTCTGGTGAACGCACACGCCCTATAACAAAAACCTCTCCAAAAAATAAATAAATCAAATAAAGTTAAATAAATAATTCTTTTTTTAATTTTTAGAGATTTTTCCTATAGGGTGTGGGTGCTCGCTGGAGAGAGAGAAATAACTTCCCAGGGGGATGGCCATTCCACATAGTAGATACTCATTAAATATCTGTCAAATAAATGAGTAAATTATAACCAATGAATTATACATCAAAAAATGCTTTGGATTTGAAATAGTATATTATGGGAGGGTCTAACAGGGCAACTGACTGAGCCAAGAGTCAACTTTTCTCTGAGAAAGTTGAACTTTAAGGGATAAGAAGGCATTAACTTGGCAACAAGGTGGAAGGAAGTACTGCAGACAGAGGGGCAGTACATCTAACATTCCCAAGACAGGACAGCGCACAGGTGCTGGAGGAGACGAGAGTGGTTTCCATCTGGTGGCACGGGTGAGTGAGGGCGTAACAGTGTGAAGAAAAAAGGGCAAAAGTAACCACCTGTGCTGTTAACAAGGGGAAGGGCTGGGCCAGCAGGTGGCATGGAGGTTAAGGCACTGGATCCATGTGGCTGATAGTGCAGTTCAAGTCCCAGACCTGGTGGCTTGAAAAACACACCAGGTGCATGTGTGTATGCATGCCCAAAATCCTGAGAGGATGGAGGAGAAGGAACTGTGGCATGCCCATACCCCATGGGGGATACTTTCTTACTTTCTCTCCGTCTCTCTGGTGAGTACATGCACTCTATAGCAAAAAACTTAAAAAAAAAAAAAAAAAAAAAGTGGGAGGGGATGGGAGTGGGAGAGAGACAGAGTCCACCTGGGGAGCCTAGGGTACCACTGACAGACGTGAGGACAGCTGGAGAAGGATCTGGTTTGTGGTCGCAGTTAAGATGCCAACTGTAGTCTCAGACTTTGGCAAGTGGGAAGGCAAAGATATTCTGCAGGCAGCTCTGAGTGTCCAGAGAAAAGTCAGGCTTAGAAGAGACAGGAGAGTCATGGGTTTGGGGTGAGTTGAAGGTGAAACCTTTGAGGGGGTGTGTAGAAAGAGAACAATGGAGAAAGGATGGCAGAAACACTCCCATTTCTCTAAGGAGTACCAGAAGGCCGAGGAACCAGCCAACAAGGCAGAGAAAAACAGGGGCAAGGAGATCAGGATGATGGAGAGGCTCAAAGAGAAAGCCCCGGATACTGGTTAAGATTTCAGGTTTTGGAGTGAGACTACTTCAGTTCAAATCCCCAGCTTGAGCCAGCTGGTGGCATAGAGGTTAAGGTTGATCCCACATGGCCAACTGCGCAGTTTTTGAGTCCTAAACCCTCCAGCCTGAAAGACACACGTATGTACGCATGTGTCCAAAATCCCAAGAGGAGAAGGGATTGTGAACTGGCCATCCACACTGGGGGGTGCTCTCTCTCTTCCTCTTTCTCTGTCTTCCCCTGGCAAGTGCCCATGGATTAAAAAACAAACAAACAAACAAAAAATAAACAAATAAACAAAAAAAACAGCTCTGTCACTTCCTAAGACCCTTCCATCTTCCTGGAGCTCAGAGGCCTCTTCTGTCCAGTGAGCATGATTTGGCGTCTGCCTCAGAGGTTGTTGGAAGTGTTCAGTGAGCTGATGTACAGAAAGGAAGCTGACTGGGACAAAGTAAGTGATCAAAAAGGGAAGGCATGAATTAGCACGATGGAGAAAAACATGGTCTATAGAGACAGGCTACAGGGAGGTCAACCACAGTGGACAACAAATTTCTTTTTTATTTTGAGAGATATTTTTTTGCTATAGGGCGTGTGTGCTCGCCAGAGAGGCAGAGAGACAGCAAGAAGCAAGAAATCCCGCCCCCCCCCGGTGGGGGGGATGGCTACACTGCAATCCCTTCTCCATTCTCCTCTTGGGATTTTGGGCACATACTTGTGCTCGGCATGAGGTTTAAGTTGCCAGGTCTGGGCCTCAAACCATGGTTGACTATGTGGGAGTCCAGCGACTTAACCATTATGCCATCTGCTGGTCCCCAATGCCAAATTTCTGAGAGAATGCAACGCCAAGGTACCCTCAGAGAGAAGCTCAATCAGCCCCATCTTGAAGCACACTGGCTTCCTGTTCAGTCACCTGGGCTCACCATTAGTCTTTGGCTCCAGTCTTACAATCTCTGGGGAGTCCTCACTGTGCCCCCAAGTATGAGCTTCCCCTCTCCACCTTGCAAAACTGCTCACACTGTCCTGGGATCTTTTTTGCCTGCTTACTCTCTCAGCCAGTGGCTGCTGGGGGGACAGGGGCTGTCCGGCACACACCCACACCTCAGGTGCCTGGCCCGCTCAGTTGCTCAATCAAGGGGTAGATGAGTATCAAACCTTTCATGACCCATCTTGAGAGTGGTAGTGGCCAAGGAGATTCCATCTTGGGGGAGGGAATTGAGGCACAGGCTAAGTTTTCAGTGTGTCAGGCCAGAGAAGGGGAGAGATGATTAGTAGCTAAAGAAGTAGATAGTGGGACCAGCAGTTAGTATAAGGGCTATGTCGCTGGACTCCCATGTAGTTGACCGCGGTTTGTGTCCCGGACCCGGTGGCTTAAAACTCACACTGGGCATATATGCGTGTGTGCCCAAGATCCCGGGAGGGGAAAGGATTGCGGCGTGGCCATCCCCCCGGGGGATGATTTCTCGCTTTCTGTCTCTCTTTGTCTGTCTGGTGAGCACATGTGCCCTATAGCAAAAACCTCTCCAAAAAAACAAAACAAAACAAAAAAAAAACAGTGGTTCTCAAAGAAGTGGACAGCGAGTTTTCCTTCCTGGGAAGCCGAGTGGAAAAGGCAGGGCTGGGAGAGGGGACAGACCAGCGAGAGGGCAGATGGCTGGTGCTGGCCAGGGTGAGGGCATCTGCGATGCGGGAGGAGGGAAGGGAAGGACTGGGCCTCGGCCAGGATAGGACAGGACTCCACTTCGAAGGCTGCAGGAGAGAAGGGGACCGGTCCAGAGTGACCCGGAGGTTCCCAGCAGAAGAGGCCTGAGGCGGAAAGCCTGGAAGAGGGCCGCGGGACCGGGACTGGCACCTGTGGGGTGTCCGCCAGGGCTGAGAGCTGCACTTTTACAGGTGCGGGGAGGTGCGAGCGCAGGGAAGGGAGGCACAGAGGTGAGGGGCACAGACATACTCACAGGGGATCGGAAGGCCCCGCGGCAACTTCGGTTAAGTCCTGGTTCAGTCCTGGAGAGGAATCCGAGAGACAAGGCGGGTCGGACGGAGCCAGTTCTGGGAGGAAAGGGGACTGTGGGGTGCGGGAGAAGGCGCGGCTGGGTCCAGCTGAGGGACAGATCAGCTCCCGGGGTCAGGGTAGGGACCCTCGACGGAGGAGGAGTCCTAAGAGGGAGAGAATCTGAAGGACTCGATGGAGGTCCCTGGAGGTGACAACCTGGGATGAGAATCTGAGGCAGAGCTATGAGTCGGGAAAGGGACTGTGAATCGGTGCACTTTTGCCTGCCTCCCAATCCCTGCCCACCTCCTGAGCCCTGGAGTACGAGACCCCCGGATTGGGGTAGTCTGCGGTGCCGGAGGGTCCAGGGCTGGGGCCAGAGAACGGACTCTAGGGTCCGTCAGGTAACTTAAAACTTCCCACTGGAGACCATATACCCGCGCACAGAAAGTTGCGCGCGCACCCTGCAAGAGTAGGTCCCGCCCCCGGATGGGCGGGGACAGCGGCTGCGCGCGCAGCTTCTACTCTGACTCCACCCGTCCCACCTGGCCGGAGGCATTCTGGTCACGCCCTTCTTATTTTATCTTTCTCATTGACCAATAGGGTTGAGGCAATATGGCCACGCCCATACCCGTGGGGCTTGGAAACGCCCCCGTCCCGCCTCTTCTGGCCCAGTTGCACGGCGGCGCGGCAGCGAGCGGGAGGATTTTCGCGGTGGTTGCCGGGATCGCGGTGATGTGGCCCCACCCCTTCCCCCCTCCCTGCCCCGAGATGTCGGAGGAAACCCGACGGAGCAAATTGGCTGCGGCCAAGAAAAAGGTAAAACGTGCCGGGTGGCGATCCCCAGACCCAACCCGAGGCCCTTCCTATGGCCAGACGGTGGCCAGAGTCTGTGCCATTCCTAGGGCACCCTAAGCGAGCCCCTCGGCGCCCCTTGGCTCCCCCTCCCCGAAGTCCTCTCAGCCAGCCCCGCCCCCTCAGTAACCCAGCCCCCGGCTTCGTTGGTCGCCCCTGGGTGACTTTGTGCTGGTGACTCTCGGGACTCCCCCCTTGGGTCTCGGCCCTGGCCTCCTGCCGCCCCAAACCGGACCTCCCCAGGTTCCTAGGGCTTCAGTAGCGGAGAACCTGGGTCCCTGCCCTGCGCTCCCCTCCCCCACCGCGGAGCAGCAACTGGCGTCGGTAGGGAGGAGTGGAATGTAGTTACGTCACAGTCTCGCTCGGAACTGTCATTATTGCCCAGCCTGGCCTTTGATCTTCCGACCAGTCCCCTAAGTGTATTCATCCCCTTTTGGGGTTTCTCTGGTCGCCGCACAAATCTCCAGCTGGAAGAGGACCAGGACTATGGGACCTAGGACAGAAAGGTCTCAGGCGCCCTTATTCCCTTAACTAAGACGTTGACAGTGCGAAAAATCTACACTTTACTAGTGACCCCCAAACGTTGACATTATCTCTAGGTGACAGTGGGAGGAGTTTGATTTGGTTTGGTTTTCTCCCTGGTTTCTACTTTCCAGAGGGACTTACACTCCCCCCCTGAGTTCTCTGTTTTATGGTCCAACTCCCTGTGATTCTGGGACCAGAGTGCCCTTCAATCAGTGCTCTCAGGAGTGAGAGCTGCTTATCATCTGCCAAACTGAACTTCACAGCTTGAATCTCTCCAAAGCGTCGTCTCGACCTAGGTTGCTTGGAGTGCCACAGGACAAATATGGGGAGATGAAATTTCAGTTTTGCTGATTCTCTTGAAAGAAAAAATATGTTAACATATTTCAATGATGACATTTGCATAGGTTTGTAAGATTTTAATAGATTACTCTGAAAAGATGCTTGGGGTGTCTGGTTTCTGTTAGATTCCCAGATTCAGTAGGAGTGTGCCTTCGCTGTCTTCTGTCCTTAGGGTACATTGATAGAAAAGTTTCCCAAGTATTTGTGCAGCTCTAACAGATGTGTAAGAAAGTACCCCCTCTTGGATTTCTGAGCTGCACAATGGACAGTTTCTGCTTGCTTACTGTTTACTTTTCCACCACTACTTCTGGTTTTGCTCCCTAGTAGCTGCTGATTTATGGCAAAACCCCAGAGCTCAGAGTCTGAATGAAGACTGAATTTAAATACCATGGTTACTTTTTTTTTTTTAAGAGATTTTTGCTATAGGGCACGTGTTCTTGCTGGAGAGACAGAAAGGGAGATACAAAACACGAGAAATCACCCCCCCAGGGGGGGATGGCTACATTGCAATCCCTTCTCCTCCGTTCTCTCAGGACGGGAACTCCAGTTGACTATGTGGGAGTCCAGCGACCTAAATGTTATGTCATCTGCTGGTCCCACATTTTTTTTTTTAAACTGTGTTATTGGTCTGTTTCTTAGTCATTAAGTGATTATTAAAACTCTATAGGGTTGGTGGTGTTGTGTATAAGAGTAATTTATAGGGAACCAGCAGTTAGCATAATGGCTATGTCGCTGGACTCCCATGTAGTTGACCGCGGTTCGCGTCCCGGACCCGGTGGCTTAAAACTCACGCCGGGCGCGTGTGCGTGCATGCCCAAGATCCCGAGAGGAGAATGGAGGAGAAGGGATTGCGGCGTGACCATCCCCCCTGGGGGGTGATTTCTCGCTTTCTGTCTCTATGTCTCTGTCTGTCTGGCGAGCGCACATGCCCTATAGCAAAAAAAACAAACCAAAACAAACAAACAAACAAAAGAGTAATTTATAAAAATTGTAGCATGTGAATTTAGAGGCTTATAGTTCTCATGAGTATTACTGTTTTTCCTTTCCACAGTTGAGAGAATATCAACAGAAGAACAGCCCTGATGCTCTTGCAGCAGCGAAGAAGAAGAAAAAAATAAAAAATGGCAGTACCCCTGAGACAACCACCTCTGGCAGTTGCCACTCTGAGGATGTGAGTCTTGACTGACCGGGTTTCTGGGGCTAGGAGGTTTAAGGGGCAATAGAGGGTGATAATTAAGATTGTGAAAGAAGCATTGGGTACCAGTAAAGGTTGACTAAGTGGCAGTGCTATTTGATTTTCCTTATGCTCAGCCTTCAGGGGAAGCCAGGCCAGTAAGGACAGACACTTGCCATCAGGCCCTCTCTTTAGGAAGCACTAAAAGAAGACCCAGGCGGTGGCAGGAGAGCCCTGGGTACTAGGATGAAAAGATCTGAGTTTCAAGTTCATCTGTGCCAGGAGCTTGCTGGGTGACCTCAGAAAATCACTTCTTGGGCCTCGGTTTCCTCCTGCGAAAGATGACAGTGCTGGATTAGATCAGAGTCTTTCAAGTCGTTTTTTAGCCGTAGCCCCCTGCCTCCCGATCAGGTGACCCTTTACTTGGAAGACTGGTTTTTAAATGGCCATGGGAGTCAGGAGCCCTCCCAGGTTTACCTCCCACATCCTGGGCCCGAGCAGAGGGTCCAGTGGGCAGATTAAGAGCAGCACTGATCAGGTGACTCCATTCTGTGCAACTGCCATCACTCGGACTTTTCCATCTGTTTACTTTGTCCTCCGCCTCCCACACGGCAGCAGGTGGCCGTTCGGAAGGACGGCACAGGCCGTGGGATCGATCTCTGCTCTTCAGCGTGCAGTCTCCCTGGACCCTCTTCTCTCTCTGACTTTCTTGCTTTTCTCTAAGCCACTTCTCTCTTTCTCCCCTGCCCTTGTTTTCCCTTTTCGCCTCCTGTAGATTCAGGACATTCTGAAGGTGCTGGTGTCCGACCTTAACCGTTCCAATGGGGTAGCGCTTCCCCCATTGGACAAGTGGAAGGTGAGGCAGTGCTGAGCCCCTCCCTCTGGCTTGCGCCCTCCCAGCTCTGCATGCCCCTGAGGCTTCTCTGGTTTGGGGGCTGCTTTGCCTCTGGCTTATTTTATGTTGCTGCTATTAACCCTTGGCCTGTTTGTCTGCTGCTTTACCTGCTTGGTTGATTGGGTTTTTTCTTCCCCTGTGTCTTTTATCATCCTGAAGTAGAGACACATCTTGAAGGCTAAAAGTAGTTTGAGAACAGAGCCAGGTGTGTGGGATTTGGGCATTTGAATGCCCAGAGAATGCTGTCAAGACTAGGAGAGACGAAACCAAAATGGCAAGCCTTTAGGTCTTTCCCTCTGGGTATTTATCCCCAAAAGACTCGTAGACTACATAGAAGGTAGTGATTTTTCAAATTGATTTTCATGGTAGTACAAAATGTAAGGTTAAGAGAGAGCAAATTGGCATTGTAGTTATAAGGATTGAGGCAGTTTTTTCAGAGGCACTAACCATAAAAGGCATGAAGTTAACCAAACAGAAGAGTAACCAGGACATTCTGTCCCCGGTCTCTCTTAAAAATCAAATGGAGGGACCAGCAGTTAATGTAATGGCTATGTCACTGGACTCCCACGTAGTCGACCGCAGTTCGCATCCCGGACCCAGTAGCTTAAAACTCTCTGACTGTCCGGAGAGCGCACGTGCCCTATAGCAAAAACCTCTAAAAAAAAAAAAAATCAAATGGACACTTGGCCATGGTCCTTAGGCTCCTTGTAGCAAAGACACTTTGCTAAACAGTGGAAAAAAAACGGATGAACAAGCTAGGGTGCACACCGAGTGAGGCAGTCCTCTGAGGGACTCAAGGGAGAATGTGGCACTATTTAAATGCCCAACCATGCTGGTTCAGGATGGACTCAAGGCTGGAGGAGGTGGCATTGAGGCTGCTTTGAAGACTCAAGGTGGGTAATATTCATGCATCTAGAGAGAGGGAAAGGCACAGGGAGTGATGAGGTCACAGCCAGCATTATAATGTCACAGAGCACATTTCAGAGATGCAAGGAGTGGGGGCAGGGCCAGGGGGCTGGGTTACCCAGGGCTAGAGATGACCAATGTGATATTGGCATTTCATCCTGAGATTTGCCCAGTGGACACCTGCCAAGCCAGAGGAGCAGGGATGAAATTGGGCCAGGTCCCATGGGGCATGGCATGGGGAGTGGGACAGGGACAGGACACCCAGGTGGTATTAGAGGGTGTCAGTAATCACAGTGTGGCTGACTGGTTTGAATTCTGGCTTTGGCTTGAAAGGCATGATGGGAACGTGTGTACCTGTCCCGAATCCCAGCATGTTGGAGAGATGGAGGACAAGGGACTGCAGTGACCACACCCCTCTGGGCAATACTTTCTCCCTCTCTGGCAAGCACGTGTGCTTTATAGCAATTAAAGAAATCACATCACGGAACCAGCAGTTAGCATAATGGCTATGTCGCTGGACTCCCACGTAGTTGACCGCGGTTCACGTCCCGGACCCGGTGGCTTAAAACTCACGCCGGACGCGTGTGCGTGCGTGCCCAAGATCCCGAGAGGAGAATGGAGGAGAAGGGATTGCGGCGTGACCATCCCCCCTGGGGGGTGATTTCTCGCTTTCTGTCTCTATGTCTCTCTCTGTCTGTCTGGCGAGCGCACGCGCCCTACAGTGAAAATCTCTCCAAAAAAAAAAAAAGAAATCACATCACATATATGTAGAGGTTCTGAGAAAAATAATTCCTCCTTCCACAAGCCTAGCGCTCCATGGAACCCGACGTGCCAGGAGGGACTGAGAGGCTGCTAGAGTGATAGCTAGGAGTTCCTGCCTCCCCTCCCCTGAATCACACCTGGCCAGCTGTTGCACCCCCGCTCTGACCTGTTAGGTTCAGTTGTAGATGTCAAAGCAATACAAGTGGTCACTAGGCTCCAAGTCATGGCCACAGTAAATGTGCAGGTACCTTGGCTCATCCCCAGCTCCCAGCCTTTGTGACGCTTGCTCTGAGCAGGGAGGTAGGCTTAGATTTTCAGAGGCCAGGACTGAAGGGTCCAAAGAGCAGGTGGCCCTTTCCTTTCCTTGAGAGAGGCAACTACTTCCTCTGCAGTTTGGCCTCCCTGGACAGACCTTGGCTCCCTAGCACTTTTCCTTGGTCCAACTGCAGCTGTCAGCCATCCCTCCCAGGCTTTGCCTGCCTGGCCTGTAAGAAGCTGGATTGTGGGCTTGGACTAAGGAGAGGCTTCCATGTGGCTCCCAATCCTAAGTGCCAGGATTGTCCCTTGGCCACTATTTCTAGGAAGAGGCCTCATGACCTCCAAGGTGCTAAGAGTCTGGCTTCCTGGGTTGTTTCTTGGTTGGGTAGGCATTTCTGGAGCTGGGGTGCTGCGCTAGAGGTAATGGCCGGGAGATGGCTATGGGTAATTTTCTTTTTCTGTCCAGTGACCAGAAAGAGGCTTCAGTTTGATGGCTTTATTCCCCCGAATCAGAGAAACAGCCAGTGGTGGTGGGACAGGGGCAGGAGCTACACTGGCCACAGCTCCTTCACCTCCACTGCTCTGTAGGCGCCCCGGGTTGGCATCCATGCACACTCTGCTTTGGGAAGAGCGCTGCCTTTCTTCCCCCAACTTGGGCACACCTTCCTTCGATGTGCTGTGGCTGCCACAGCACACAGCTTGGTACTGTCATGCTGAGCTCTAGGGAGAACAGGTCCTTGTGTGTCCATGAAGGAAGTCATACAGCCGCTGCTTTGAGCTTTGGTCACCCAAAATGCTGCTGAGCAGCCCAAGGCCTAGGCGAGCTCTGTCCACACCCCCAGGCACCACCCAGCATGCCTGACTGTCACTCTGACCACGGCAGCACCTATCCTACCACTCTGTACCTCACGTCCATGGCAGTGAGGCACCTTTTCTCCTCACGGCCCTGACCCCCTGCTCCGTTCTGTGACAGGTGCCCAAAGACCACACTGCTCCTGCACCACCACCTGCTGATGACACTGTGTTACCTGGTGGTGTCACTTCCCCTGGTGCTAGTTTTTCTAGCATGGAATCACCTCAGGTTTGTGCTCCTTGCCCCTTTGCCCGCTGCCCTCCTGTGTGCTTGCCCCATCCTCCTTCCCCAGGAGGAGACCTGCTATGGTCCCTCCTCCTCCTTCAGGTAGCTTAGTTCCTTGCACCAAGTCCCCTTCCTGGGACTGGGGTTGGGTAGGCTAACCTTTCCTTGAGGTTTGGGAAGATGATGGAAGGCTGTTGGGATGAGCCTGGCTCACCCATGCTCTGGGTAATTCTTATAGAAGTGGAATAGTCACCTCTTATGTTTCTTCCCAGCAGAACTATGATGCTGACAATGGCCCCGATCTTATGGATAAAACCCAGTGAGTGTCTTCTGGGCGCATGCAGTGCTTGGCCATGGGAGTCAGGGCAGGCCATGGCCCTTGTTCCCATCGAGCTGCCCGCACCTCTGACCTCAGTGTCTCTGTCCCTAGGACTTTGTCGTCAACTGAGAGCCTGCGACAACTATCTCAGCAGCTCAATGGTCTTGTGTCTGAGGTATCCCAGAAATCAGGGTCCACAAGGGGGAGAGGGAAAGAAAGGCATATAGAAACCAAGGCAGGGATTCTCAAGAGGGGGAGGGTCCTGGGACCGGCAGGCCTGCTGGGTTATGTTGGGCAAGTGACATCTCCGAGTCTTTTCCCTGGAAGCTGCACAGGGAAGGATCAGACCACGAGGTTGCTCACATCATTTTGTCTGCTGTGGGAAGTGCAGAGTGAGAGCTGCTTAGGAGGAGAGGGTCGATGACGAGATAAGAACCACGAGCAGTGGGCACAAAGGTTACAGCAGCAGGTGTCCAAGTTAGGCCAGAACAATTTGCCAGTTGATGGGGGTGAAAGGAAGTCAGAGAGTTTAGACATTGAGGGGTCAGAGCGTCTCCATGGGCTGTCATCTCTTCTAGTCTTCGTCCTATGTCAATGGAGAGGGCCTCATCTCTTCTACTAACATGAAAGATCTGGAGGTAAGTGGCCCTGGACGGGGACCCAGCGACCCTGCAGGCCAGCCCCTGACCTCCTCCCACAGTGGGGGCTGGGTGCCCCCATGCCAGCTGAGACAGCCCACCTCCCAGCCCTAATGATTGCTCTCTCTACCTCTCCCCCCAACCCTCCTCCAATTCCTCCTCTCTGCATGCGCCTCAGAGCCGGTACCAAGAGCTAGCAGTAGCCCTGGACTCCAGCTATCTAACAAACAAACAACTCAGTAGCACGATAGAGGAATTGGTAAGAGTCCAGCGGGGTCCCTGAGTCCACGCTGCCAATCCTGGGCTCCAATTTCCCTTTGGGGCTCTGAAGAAAGGGTCTGGGGACCCCAGTGCCAAGGGAGAGTGGGGCGTTGGGGGGCCTAGGCCTTAGCTGGAGGGACCCCAGAGCACAGAGCATGCAGCATGGCTCTTCCTGTTGCTGCCCTCCTTGCCTGTTCTCTTCTGCAGACCCCCTGCCTGAGTCCTCCCCACACTTGCCCTGGGGTCATTGCCTCTAGGGGAAGCACTGGCCTGTCACCTGACAGGAGCCTGTGTTCCTGTCTGTGCAGTCCCTGCCTTGCTCTGTCTTTGATTTTGGATAAGCCATCCCTCCTCCCTGGGCTTGGGTCTCCTGGGAGGTCGCATTCAAAGGTCGCTCTTAGCTCTAAGCATCAGACTGGGAAAGCGCACTAGGTGTCAGGGAGAAGAGAGCTTGCTTCTCAGGACCAGGACTGGGTCCATAGCGTGTGCTCAGTAAATACTGGTTGGATATGAACGTCTCCTTCTGAATCACAAGCTGGCAGAGTGTAGTTCTCTTTTCTCAAACTCCATTACTAGAAGTTTGTTACTGTTCTTTAAGAGAATCTAGATTCAGGCTTTTGGTTCTACAGCTGAGTGAAAGCCAGTGAAGAGAGCCTGAGGAGAATTTGTTGGTTAAGGTCCCCATAGGTCTGAGAATTCCTTCTTTGAAATTGATTTCTAGCCAGCCACGGTGGCACAGGCAGCAGGGCATGCCATGTGGCAGCGCTGGAGTCACATGGAGGACTGCAGTTCGGGTCCCAGGCCAGCCTGAAACACCAGGCATGTGCACACCCACGTGCCCTTGGCAGGCAGGCTGGGGGGATCGTGGCATGACGATGCCCCCAGCCTGCATGACCCCTGTTGGGGGTATCTGTTTCTCTCTCTCATGGAGGAAATTAAAAAAAATAATAATTAAAAAAAAAGAAAAACACCATCCCCTGCCCGACCCTTCTTGGTCTGAGGATGAAGTAAAGGAGACAACCTCAGTCACCTTCCTTTAACTCCCCACAGAAACAACAACAACAGGAAACTCTGGATCAGTTGGAAAAGGTAATAGGACTTCTATGTTTGCTTATTACCTGGCTGATGGGTTGGGGGGACTTTGATGTGGAGGCCCCAGCCTTGCCTTGCCTCTCGCATCTGCCCTGGAGAAGGCTCCTGCTGGACCACACCTCCACCCCTACAGCATCCTTGATGATCTAGTGTCTTCATGGCCTTCTCTCAGTGAGAGATCCTGCTTCCCTCTTCCCACAGGAGAAGAAAGAATGTCAGCAGAAGTTGGCGAAGGAACAGGGAGCGCTCAGGGAACAACTGCAGGTGAGTGGGCCATGGGTACCCTTTGTGCCCCCTGGAACATTTCTTTCCCCCTCTGTCAGCACTTCTTTTTTTTCCCAAAGGTTCACATTCAAACCATAGGCATCCTGGTGTCTGAGAAGGCAGAATTACAGACAGCTCTGGCCCACACACAGCAGGCAGCCAGGCAGAAAGCAGGTGGGCCTATAGGCACCCCTTCATCCTTCACCTTGGCGGGCCTTAGGGGGAGTCCTTGGCTCCATCTCCACCTCTCTTGTTCCAGGAGAGTCTGAGGATCTCGCCAGCCGCCTGCAGGCCTCCCGGCAGCGTGTAGGAGAGCTGGAGCGGACATTGTCCGCTGTCTCCACGCAGCAGAAGCAGGCGGAAAGGGTGAGCCCAGCTACCTGCCTGTCCATTGGCAGCCCAGCTTCCTGAAGGTCCCTTATGCAGGATGGAGTGTCTTACTGATGGCAATGCAGCACGGACTGTTTCTTGCAGCTTTGGCTGTGTGTGGTTAGAGCTGGTAGCTGGGAGCAAGCTCGGGGTAGTGCTTGTGTCAGATGCAGAGCCCAGAGGCCTAGTACCCGCCTTGCCCTTAACTGGCTATGGCCTTGGCCAAGCGCTAGGAGGAGGAGTATGGTGCTTGGGCAGTAAAGGTACAGAAGAGTATTTCTGAAGGATTACCAAAAAGCTCGGAGAGAACAGCAGATGGCATTATGGTTACACTGTTGGACTCCCATGTAGTCAACTGTAGTTAAAGTCTTGGACCCAGCTTGAGTCCCAGACCCGCTTCTTAAAATTCATGCCAGGCACGTGTGTGCGCATGTCCAAAGTCCCAAGAAGGGAATGGAGGAGGGATTGCAGTGTGGCCATCCTCCTGCCCGGGGAGGTGATTTCTTGCTTTTTGTCTCTCTGTGTGTCTTTTTTTCTTTTTTGGAGAAGTTTTTTTGCTATAGGGCCCGTGTGCTCGCCAAAAAGACAGAGAGAGACAAAGAGACAGAAAGTGAGAAATCACCCTCTGGGGGGATGGCCACGCTGCAATCCCTTCTCCCCCATTCTCTCGGGATCTTGGGCATGCACGCACATGGGCCTGGTGTGAGTTTAAGCCGCTGGGTCCGGGACTCGGACCGCAGTTGACTACATGGGATAAGTGGGGGGCCAAAGACACAGCCATTACGCTAACTGCTGGTCCCTCTCTGTGTCTTCAGTGAGCACACACACCCTATAGCAAAAAATCTCTATTAAAAAAAAAAAAATCTCAGCGAAGAGAACAGGGTGGCTGAGAGATGTTTCGTTCTGTACCTTTTGATTTTTGGACTGTGTATCTCCCATTCAGAAAGCAAACAAGAGATTAAAATACAGGGGCCAGCATTTGGTGTGCTGATTAAGGCACTGGACTCCCACTTGGCCAACTGTGGTTCAAGTCCCAGACCCGGTGGCTTGAAACTCACGCCAGGTGCATATGTGTGCGTGCCCAAAATCCTGGAGGAGAATGGAGAAGAAGGGATTGTGGCATGGCTGTTAGCCCTGGGCGGGAGTGATTTCTCACTTCCCCTTTCTCTATCTCTGTTTCTCTGGTGAGTGTGTGTGCCCTATGCCAAAAAATTCTTTTTTATTTTTTTGAGAGGTTTTTGCTATAGGGCACGTGCGCTCACCAGACAGACAGAGAGACAGAGAGACAGAAAGCGAGAAATCACCCCTCAGCGGGTATGGCCACACCGTAATCCCTTCTCCTCCATTCTCCTCTCGGGATCTTGGGCACGCATGCACATGCGCCCGGCGCGAGTTTTAAGCCACCAGGTCCTGGACTCAAACCGCGGTCGACTACATGGAAGTCCAGCGACATAGAGATTACACTAACTGCTGGTCCCCTCTGCTCATTTCTTTTTCTAAGCTGAAAAAAAAATACAGATTTAACTCTCCTCCCAGTAAATGCATCCTCAGCTCCAGGGAAAAAAATGGGTTTTGAGAATTAGACCAGGATGTTCAAATGCCAGCTCTACCATCGTGCTTTTCATTTACACAGCGAAGATAAGCTGTGGTTGTGAGGATTGAGTGGGATTGTTACTGTGGTGCCTGCCAAGGTACTCGGGGAACTTTCAGTGGTGATGGGACAGTCATTACAAAGCAGTATCACCTGGTGTGTCTGGGCCTCCCTCAGGCAGCTGTAAATTACTAAAAACAAATGAGAACACAGCTTAGCAATGCCTTGAAATAATGTAGAATGCTAAGGCTGGATGGTAGTGTATTGGTAAAATGCCAAGCTTTGCAAGGCTGGCTTCCATGGGAAGGTTCTGGGTTTGCATCTGGGACCTCCTTGAATATGCTAGATATGCAGATGTGCCCAAGATCTGGGGCTGGCTGAGGCTGGGAGTGGACCATGGCATCAGGGGAAGAAGTGATCTTGGACAAGCATGTAAACTTGGAATCGTTACTGTAGCCATTGTTATTGTGTGCTATTTCTTTTTTTTTTTTTTTTTTTTTTATTTGAGAGAGGTTTTTGCTATAGGGTGCGTGTGCTCACCAGAGAGACAGAGAGAGACAGAGAGACAGAAGGTGAGAAATCACCCCCCAGGGGGGATGGCCATGCCGCAACCCCTTCTCCATTCTCCTCTCGGGATCTTGGGCACACACACACGTGCCCGGCGTGAGTTTAAGCCACTGGGTCCGGGACTCGAACCGCGGTCGACTACATGGGCGTTCAGCGACATAGCCATTACACTAACTGCTGGTCCCATTGTATGCTAGTTCTATCTTACTTTGACTTAACCTTTCTGTATTTGCAGTACAACAAGGAGCTAACCAAAGACCGAGATTCCCTGAAGCTGGAGCTATACAAGAACAGGTAGGGTGGGGGAAGGTGGGAGGGAGGTCTGGGGGGGATCTTAGCAAGGGTGATATGGTAGGTGGTGGGAGGGTGAGCATACCGAGGTGGTCATACATCCTAGTTCTATCTTACTTTGACTTAACCTTTCTGTATTTGCAGTACAACAAGGAGCTAACCAAAGACCGAGATTCCCTGAAGCTGGAGCTATACAAGAACAGGTAGGGTGGGGGAAGGTGGGAGGGAGGTCTGGGGGGGATCTTAGCAAGGGTGATATGGTAGGTGGTGGGAGGGTGAGCATACCGAGGTGGTCATACATCTTTGCACCTGTGCAGAGCCCAGGTTAGTCCTACCTCTGTCACTCTCTCTGGAGTGCCACCTGAGACTTGATCCCTGGAGTCCCTCTAGTACCACGGTTCTGGTAAGGGTAATGGGTTGTTCACTAGGTGGGCCTTTCTAGCTTTTACTCATTCCTTTCCACTGCCTCTGGTCATAGCAAAAGCAATGAGGAGCTGAAGGAGCTGAACTCCGAGCTGGAGGAGAAGCTCCGAATCCTTGCTGCTGAGAAGGCAACTACACAGCTTGGGATGGAGGAGCTGCAGAAGAAGCTGGAGATGTCTGAGCTGCTGTTACAACAAGTGAGCGGCAGCAGCCCCTGGGAGCCTGAGCCCGTCCAGTTGGGGCCACAGTGGCCTCCAGCCAGAGTTGGGAAATTCAGATCCTTGTTCTGGACCTGCTATAGACTTCCCCAGAAAGTGCTACAAATCCACAAATAGGGACCCTGCTTAGACCTGCAAAATCAGAATCTCAGGGATCGGGGATTGTAAACTTATTTATTTATGTCCAGAATGTGTTTATTGGGCTGGTTTCCCACTCACCTTGAGTCAGGATGCTCTTAGTGCTGCTTCCTCCTGAAGGAACATCCTTCTGTGAGCCTCGCTGTTCCTCCTCTAGGCTGGCAGAGGACAGTGGAGCAGCCAACGCACACAACTACCCCTTTGGGTCTTAGGCACTCAAACACATGCCCCGTGTGTTGTAGGCTGAGCAGGCTGGGGATTTGAAATGCAGTCAGATGTGGGCCACGTGGGCATCCAGCTTCTCTTGAGCAGTGCGTTCCCGCTGTGCTGTGGAGCAAGCCCTCGAGCTTGCTGACGTCCTCCCGCAGGCCACACCAGGACGTTTATTATTGCGTGGTAATAATAGCAGAGTAGAGAGGTCCTTCTTGACCCTGAGTTGTACATTGATCCTAGCTCAGACTCTTTTGAGGGACATTACTTGGGATAGCCTGGGCTTCCTGGGTCTAAAACTCTCATTTTTTCTCATTCAGTTCTCCAGCAGGTCTGAAGTCCCTGACAGTAACCAGCAGTTGCAGCAGGCCATGGAAGATCGGGCCCAGCTCCAGACACAGGTGGAACAGGTAAGACTGCAGCGTGAGGAGTGTAGGAGGAGGGTGACCCCACAGGGCCGAAAGGAGATGAGGGCCACTGACAGCCCCTGTAACCTAGGCACCCATTTTTGCAGCTGACTGAGTCTCTGCAACACCTCCGGAGGGAGAGAGACCAGTTTGCAGAGGACCTGAGGGCAGAGAACATCATGTGGCACCAGAGGATGCAGCAGATGTCAGGGCAGGTGAGGTCTGACCCATGGGCCCCCGCTCAAGCTAGGCCGCCACCTCTTCCTAAGCAACTGTGTGGTGAAGACCGTAGCATCTGTTGGCAGTGCACCCAGAGGGGCTGTGTGTCATATTTTGGAAGTGGGGCTAGAGCGGGAGAGAGTAACCCATCCATCCTCCAGCTCTCCTCCACGGCTCACTCTCCTGTGCCTTGGGCAGGTGCGCACATTGAAGGAGGAGAAAGACCAGAGCCTGACTCAGGTCCAGGAGCTGCAGACCACTTTGGCTGAGCTGAGGACACAGCTAGGTAAGCTGAGGCGGGGCTGGAAGGCTCAGGGGGCTTCACGTGCCCCAGGGAGGTGGGCACATAGAGGGTGTTAGGTAGAAGGAGACAAACCTCTGCCAGGAGATAGCAAGTCTTGTCATCTCTCTAAGCCTCGGTGTCCCCAACTGCAAAGGGGTACAAAGAGGGGTGGAGTGTCCATTGTCAACCATCCCAGTTGTCCTGAGCATAAAAGCATAAAGAACTGTTTAAAAGGGGAAGTTGACCACCATCTGGGTGTGAAGAATTATTAGCCTAGAAGCCAAGGTTTGGGGGTAGGAGCCTGAATGAGAAGCTGCAAACCAAGAAGAGGGTTTGTGGAGGATCCAGAGGCCATATCGTCTGCTTCCGTTCTCAGCGGAGCCTCCAGCCCCGGAGCCTCCAGCAGGGCCCTCTGAGGTTGAACAACAGCTGCAGGCAGAAGCTGAGCGGCTACAGAGGGAGCTGGAGAGCCTGTCCGGACAGCTCCAAGCTCAGGTTCGAGACAATGAGGGCCTGAGCCGCCTGAACCAGGAGCAGGAACATCGGCTCCAGGAGCTGGAGCGGGCGGCAGAGCTCTGGGGTGAGCAGGCGGAGGAGCGCAAGAAGATCCTGGAGAGCATGCAGAGCGACCGTACCACCATCAGCCGCGCACTCTCCCAGAACCGAGAGCTCAAGGAGCAGCTGGCCGAACTCCAGAACAGCTTCGTGAGGCTGGTGTGTGGCTCCTCACTGGCCAAGTCCTTGGCAGGCTCTGGGCAGGACAGTTATCCTCTCTCAGCCTTTGTTTCCCCACCTTTAAAACAGAGTGGTGTAGACCCCATGGGAAGTGGTACTTGCAAAGGCACCCTGTGAGCCAAAGCCTACTCACTTGTACGGAGGGGCGATGCCTTTCCTGCCTGCCTCCACCCTTCCCTGCCCTCTGGGAGGTGGCTGCTGAGGTCTGGGGTCTCCGCTTTGGATGACTGCTGATTGGCTTCTCTCCGTCCAGACCAATGAGAACATGGAGCTGACCAGCGCGCTGCAGTCGGAGCAGCATGTCAAAAAAGAGCTGGTCAAGAAGCTGGGCCAGCTGCAGGAGACTCAGGGGGAGCTGAAGGAGACGGTAAGCCCTGCCCCCTGAGAAGGGCTGGAGCACCAGCGGCACCTCTGGATGCACTCTGGGCCTTGCTGGGTGCCCACCTTGCCCACATCTAGAAGCATGGAGCGCCCCCCCCGCCCCCAGTCAGAGGCAGAGGTGCAGACTGGATTCCAAGCAGCCTCCCTAGTCACCAAATACTTTACATCTCTAGGCCTCAGTTTCCCTAATTTACAAAGATCAACATTTTCCTCAAAGAGGTGTTGATTACATGAGACAATGCACGTAAAAGATCAGGTATTTCGAGTGCACGTAACAGAGGCTGCCCCCTCTGCCTTTCGTTTTTTCATGATAAAGATCATGCACACACACGAGAAAGATGAGCACCCTCCAGAACGTCTAGTGCTGCTCTCCCCTTCCTCTAGGCCTCCTGCTCACTGGATTTGGGACACTTGCGCATGTGCCTGACATGTTTCAGGCTGACCAGGCTGGGTATTTGAACTGTGGTCATATCGGAGATCTAGTTTCTCTTGAGCAGCGCATTAGCACTGTGCCACAGAGCAGGCCTCTCTCTGCCTTTTCACCAGTCTGTGACTTAGAGTGAAAATGGTGGAAAAGGTTATGAGGCCCATGAGGCCTTGGGCAGGTACCGGGTCTGTGCCACCTCCCTATTTCCAGACTCTCAATCTGGAAGCAAGCTACCACCTGCCCTCACTCCGCAGGTAGAGGTGAAGAGCCAGGAGGCTCAGGGTCTGCAGCAACAGCGGGACCAGTATGCTGTCCACCTGCAGCAGTACGTGGCCGCCTACCAGCTGCTGGCCTCCGAGAAGGAGGCGCTGCAAAAGCAGCTGCTGCTACAGAACCAGCTCATGGACCGGCTGCAGCACGAGGAAGTTCAGGGCAAGGTGGCAGCTGACGTGGTCCGCCAGGAGCTGCAGGAGACCCAGGTGAGGGAGTCGCTGAGTTCTGGGCCCAAGTGGGAGAACCCAGCAACCACTGTGCCTTCACTCTCTTTCCTGACCCCTTAGGAGCGTCTGGAAGCTGCCATCCAGCAGAACCAACAACTAGAGGCCCAGCTGAGCCTCATAGGTCCCTCTGGGGAAGGTAAGCGAGCCCACCCTGAGGGACAGGTGAGCATCTGAGGAGAGGGACTTCAGCACACAGTAGGGGCCTAGAAGAGCCCTTAGAACCACTAGTCATTTCCCCCCACAGGGTCAGGGTGAGAGGGGAGGAAGAGGTGACCCTGAGCTTCTTCCCAGGCCCCTTCCTCCCTTGGTGGGTTGTCTGAGGACCCTCTGGCTCTTCCCGTAGGAGGAGGATTGGACGAGGAGGCTCCTGGGTCCAAGCTGGGCCTCCCAGAAGAGCTGGAGAGTCCAGAGGCTGTGGTGAGCCACCATCCCCCATAGGAACCCTTCTCGGTCCCTCTTCTCCTGCTTCCCCTGTGGTCCCTCAGCACCCTCTGCCTACTTGACTCCCCTGCCCTCTGACTTCTCTGGACCCCCACACCTTCCTGGGGGGACACAGGTGGTCCACCGACTAGAGAGGGGAAGGGCTCCCTTCTGCATCTCTGCCCCCTTGCATCCTGAGTGTTCTCCACAAAAACACATGCACCTGTTGCCTGCAGCCAAAGGAACATAGGCGCCGCTGCCAGCAGCTGGCTCACCTGGCACCTCCATCCCAGGAGGAGCCAGAGAGGGAGCCCCTTGCCACCAGGACCAGGGGTGACTGTGTGTCTGAGGAGAGCCACCAGGCCCTACAAGGGGCCATGGAGAAGCTGCAGGTGAGCGAGTCTCTCTTGACATGGGCCTCGAAGGGTGGGCATGTGGTGGGTCGCTGCTGAGACCTGACTCTGTTCTGTGGCTCCAGAGCCGCTTTCTGCAGCTCATGCAGGAGAAGGTGGACTTGCAGGAGCGTGTGGAGGAGCTGGAACATCGCTGCATCCAGCTCTCTGGAGAGACTGACACCATCGGTGAGCTGTGATGCCGGGCCCATGCCAACGAGCTGCACGGTGGGTGGGTGGGGGCAGTACCTGAGCCCGTCCTCACCTGCCCACCCACCCTCCTGCCCTTGGTCCCTGCAGGAGAGTACATTGCCCTCTATCAGAACCAGAGGGCAATGCTGAAAGAGCGTCACCGTGAGAAGGAGGAGTACATCAGCCGGCTGGCGCAGGACAAGGAGGAGATGAAGGTGGGGTCACGAACTTCTCTGCAGGCGGGCGGGCTGGTCTGGAGTAGGGGCGGGGCACTGAGCACCTCGGTTGGTGTGGGGTAGGGGTGGAGCGCCAAGCACCTTCTCCGGGTGGGGCCAGGGTAGGAGTGGAGCATTGAGCACCTTTCTCTCCAGGTGAAGCTGCTGGAGCTGCAGGGTCTGGTGCTACGGCTTGTGGGCGAGCGCAATGAGTGGCAGGGAAAGTTCCTGGCCGCTGCCCAGAGTCCTGTGGGCGAGCCCGCTCCAGGGCCACCCACCTCGCAGGAGTTCGGTGCCGCTGACCAGCTGGGTGGTGAGTAGTGGCCTGGGGCAGGGTGGGCTGGGAAGGCAGCAGGTGTTGTGAGGCCTAGTGGCACTGCCTGCCCGCCTGTCTCCGCAGACCTTCGGGAGGTCAGCCTTGCTGACCCTGTTCAGCCTACACAAGGAGAAGCTGGCATGGGCTCTCCTGCTGAGAACCCCACTGCGCAACAGATTATGCAGCTGCTGCGGGAGATCCAGAACCCCCAGGAGCGCCCTGGCTTGGGCAGCAACCCCTGCATCCCCTTCTTCTACCGGGCTGACGAGAATGACCAGGTGAAGATCCTGGTCATCTAGGCCTCACAGCACCAGGCAAGGCCCGCCCCCCCACCCCATCCCTGTGCTGCCGTCCTTGCCACCTTGTCTCCACTACCCTGCCCCTGCCACTCCTTCCCTGTCACCCTTATCCAATCAGTGACAACATAGAAACCCTATCTAATGGGGAGACACAGACCCTTTGCCATTTTGGCCAGGGCTATTTTAATTTCTGGGTTTCATTCCAGAAAAGAGCCAGAGGCTCATGAAACTTAGAAGGCTGCCTCTCTGGAGGAGCATTGGCCACCTCAACACCCAGCAGCCTTTCATTTAGGGGACTCCCACCCCCTTATTTGAGGCACTTTGGGGCAGGACAGCTGGGCAGCTTTTCCACTAGGCTGCAGGGCAGGAGGGGCTCAGTATAGTCCGGGGAGGCCATGTCAGGGTAGGTGGCCTCGTCTGGTGGGCTCCCATCCCCTTACTCGAGGCACTTTGGGGCTGGGCAGTATCCTCATGGGCTGCAGGGCAGGAGGCGCCCCCTGTAGTCTAGGTGAGGCCATTTTGAGACAGGTGGTCTCGTCCAGGGGCTCATATCCCTTACTGGAGGCACTTTGGGGCTGGGCAGCATTTTCACTGGGCTGCAGGGCAGGAGGCGCCCCCTGTAGTCCAGGTGAGGTCGTGTTGAGGCAGGGCAGCTGGGCAGCATCTCCCAGGTCCTGCGACAGTTAACTGTAGGTCAGATGTGGGCAGCGGTTGGGGCAGGCAGGCCACTCAGGGGCTCCCGTCTTCCTGAGGGGCGCGATGGGGCAGGACAGCGGGCAGCATTCTACTAGGCCTTGTGACAATTGGGGCCTAACTGTAGGGCAGGCGAGTGCACAGGCTGCCGGGGGGTGGGCCTCGGACCCCCTCCCCCGCGGTGTACATATTGTATCTGTAACATTTTGTATATTCCGGGGGTAAGGCTGTCCCCCGTATCAGAGAGGTTGGAGCTGGCACGTGAGGAGCAGCTAATAATTATTTGGGGCTGGAAACTTATTTATTGGTAGCACCAGACAGAGGAAGGAGGCGGGGATGGGGTCGTGACACCCTGGTGATGCGGCTCCTGTTTATTTTGCTTTTTATTTCGGAGTAAATGAATTTAACCATACTGTTTGGCCTTGCGTGTTCCTATTTCCAAGCTGGGTCCAGGGGTCTGAGCCACTGAACGGAGCAGGTGGACTGCAAGGAGTCCGAGTCTGCGCTTGCCCAGCTGGGCTGTGGGGATCTTCTAGGCCTGTCACCTTTGCACTGCCGGCGCAGTCTGTGGGACTGCAGGACCACGGGAGGCAGTTGTGCCCGACCGGCCAGCACACTCAGAAGTCAGAACTAAGGCTGGGGAGGGGAGGTACGGTGCTGGCACCCAGAAATGCCAGCTCCCAGCCCACCACCCTGATCCCCTTGCCTGTCTGTGCCCAGTGGCCTCTTACTCCTCTGTCCCTCCAGAGTGCCGGCGGCAGGCGGAGTTCCGGGCTCTGCCCCCTAGTGGCCAGAGCGGGCTTCACAGGATGAGGACAGGCTAACCTGTAGGGCCTTTCCTGCCCTCCTTCCAGTACACCAGCAGTGGCCGGCCCCCCCCCCCCCACCCCAGTGTCAGCCTTCACCTCTCCCGAATCCACGGAGAACACAAGTGAGCAGAGGACACGCCGTTCCCCATCATCCAAAAATGGGTTTTATTCTCAGCCAAGAGACAGCAGGACTGGGAGCAGTGAGAACCACACAGCTGCCAGCACAGCCCCCCATGCTGCGAGGGGCTGGGGACGGCAGGATGGCAGAGGGAGCCGGCTGTCCACAGGCCGGGCACAGCAGGGAGGCTCACTGGAGGGGGAACACTTCGGGGGGATGTCAGGGTGACAGTGTTCCCTTAGTGTTGGGCCACGAGAATCCACAAGGACAGCACGGTGACTGCTCCCCCACTGGAGATGAGGCTGGGTCAGCCGTGTATGTGTGTGCGTATATATACGAGTATTTATAGATATTTATAGAACGGCAGGAGCAATACCACAGAGGGGCACACGTTTTCACCATCACACCTGAGTGTGCAGCTCACCACTACAATAGACTAAGTCACAGATGGAGGGGAGGCTTTGGGGCTGGGGGAGCCACTGGCAAGTCACAGAACAGCCATCCAGGCAGGCTTGAAAAGGGAGGTCTCCGAGGAATAGGAAGGATCTGGTTAGAGGTCGAAGGGGGGCCTGGGGCTCTCAGGACGGGATGGACTTGCCTGACCCGATCGGCTGGCAGTTGGAGAGAAAGCAAAGAGAAAGGGGAGGAGAGAGCCGGTAAGGTAGGAGCACCCCCCTGGCAGTGGTGGCAGGGCTGGGAACGGGGAAGAGAGGAGAGGTGAGAGGGAGGCACTGGAGACAGGCACACCCAACTTTCCAGCTAGTCTGGGTGGAGGCTGGGCCCCTCCACCTCCACCACACACGCTGGCCTCACACACAGCACCCAGGCAGTGCACCCACAGTTCCAGATATGGACCCGGCCCCCTTGGGCTTCTGTTGTCTCTAGTCACCCGTCTTCCAACCTGCTGGCCCCAGGTTACCCCTAGCCTCAAGGACCCACACAACAGCCATCAGGCCTGATGGAGAAGACCAGGAGGAAGAACACTGCTTGAACCAGGAGGGCAAAGCTAAAAGGGATGGCTGGAGGGAGCACTGTAGGCCCCTCTGGGTGGTCAGAAAGCCTGGGAGTCCTCTGAAGGGACCCTGGGGGAGGCAGGAAGGGCGGGCAGCCAGGTGCCAGTGGCCATAGACTTATAAGTCTAAGAGGGGAGCCTCGGCTGGTCGGGGGACTGCAGGTCGCGTAGGTGAGGCTGGGCCCTTCCTGCTGGGAAAAGCAGAAGAGCAAGAATCAGCGGTGGGTGGACGCACTGGATGGGTTTTGCCGCCCAGCCAGGGCGCAAGTCAGAGAGACTGCTGTGCCCAGGTCAGCGGACAAGCCGTCCTCTTGGCTGCACAGAGGAGGTGTGCTCTGGGAGGGGCAGGCTCAGAGGTGTGAGCCTACGGGCCACATCTGGGCCCAGGATGTTGCCTGCTGTCACGCACTAGCAGGTGGGGAATACCAAGGAGCTAGGGTGGGGGCTGTGTGCCTGCCTCGCCTGGGAGATGTGGCATAGGCTGACGTTGTGAATAGGAAATCATGACACAACCAGGGCCTCTGCCCCACCCTGACTGCTGCTCAACTGCAGCAGGGGAGGTGGGACCTGACCGCACCCCTGCCCTGTGGCAGGTTCAGTTCTCAGGGCTTTCCCCTATGCTATGCGGCAGCACAGCTCAGATCTGGAATGAGTGTGCACCCGGCAAGAAACCCAAACTTCGGAGTCCAGCCCCACACACCCCTCTGAGCTCTCAGCCCCTACGCCCTACACCAGAGCGCTCTGCCCTCTCTGACGGCTCCAGAGAGTACCCATGTCTGCCAGCTTGGCCGCGGAGCCTGTCCCAAGAGCCCGCAGGCTCTGCACTGAGTCCCGAGGCTCTCTGAGAAGGCAGGTGAGAGGCTGCTGGCACGAGGAC